AAAAACACTTGTCTCTGGTCTTCCTAGGCTTTCAAGAGAAATAAATGAGAGTAACCAATGTTGAAAAAAATTCATTGTCCTCTCGCCAAGCAACAAGGATTTCAGAAGTATGAAACTAGTAATTTTTTGGATAGACTTATGATAAAGTGCTCTCTAATCACCACCTAGATTAATTTCCTTCTGTAAAATAGGTTTTCAGATTAATCTTACTAGAGTTATTTGAAATGGAAAAAAGAGATTTCTGTAAGTAAATAAAAACTTATAAATCACAGACACAAAAAAAGAGGTAAGAAACCTATAATCCAAAATCAGATTAAGTCTATGACTTAATTACATCCAGCTTTTGAGTGATACTTCATAAGCCTCCAGTACTACACCTGACCAGACCCAAGATGTATTAATAAAAACAAGTACATCCACATTCAAGAGGTCTCAAATCAAGATAAAAGTTCAGTTTCAGTAAGGCAAAAGTAGATTCTAAACAACAGGATTAGAAGGAGTAAATAGAGGCAGAAGTGCCCTCTGGTTAAAAAAAAAAGGGCAGTTTAAAGAGGGAGATCAAAGGGTTAGTGTGAAGTTGAGGTGGTGTTCAAGGAAATGGTCAAGGGTGAGATGGGATTCTGTCTGCCTGGGGAGTAACCTCCAGCTAAATGAAGGGAGAACTGGCTGCTGAAGTTGAGTCAGAGGCCTAAAATGACCTCTCTTCTTAACATTTCTCATTGAGGAAGTCTTTTTCTGTATAAACTTTAGACCATTCCCTTTGGCTTTTGAAAGAACCTGGTCTCCTGAGTAACACACAACCTCCCATTGGCAGCATCCCTGGACCTAGGTCCTAATAATTTGTGAGTTGCCTCCCTGTTTATTGTCCATGATAGGTCCTTCTTAGTAATGTTTCCCTGGCTCACCTCTATTGATTTTGAAGTAAACTCTTTGTAAATAAGTATTTACTATTCTCTCTAAATTAATTTTTACAAAAACAGACATCATACTCCTTCAAGTTCCTCCTCCTGGGCCCTTAGCATGATGTACCAAGTTCAAAGGCTCCTACCTCCTCAAGTACATTCAATACAACCCTCCCTCTGATTGGAACCATGATGAATATTACTTTAAACCCTTTTCAAGAAGTACTTTTAGAAGATCCCTAAAATCTAGCTCTCTCCTACTTACATAAACACTCTGGCTGTCTAAAAGCTTCCATTTGCCTTCCCCCAAATCTAGTCAGCACCTCATGGTATATCAGAAACTAAAAATTAGCATACGCATATCCAAGGGTCTCAAGGAAAGTATGAGTCTGACATCACTCTAATAAGGCTGGTGGTGGAAGCAGAAAAAAAGAGGTAGTAAACAAAAAGGTTAAGATCTCTCCTGCCCCCAAAAGAATGACAAAGAATTCTGTCCTTAATTTCACTTTATCAAATTCTCCTCCCCCTTTCCTCCAGACTGGCTTAGAATAAGTAAAGAATGATTATACAGCACAGCAACAGTTCTGAAAAACCAACAATAACTACTTCGGAAGGGTAAATAAAAAAAAAATACAGGTTACTAAGATCTCTAGTGAGTTCAAGTAACTGCATCTCCATTGTTGGTCCTTATATAGCTATGGAAAGAGGAAAGAAACAGAATATTCATGTCACATGATAGTCTTAACAGCAAAAGAATCATTACCCAACTTTCACAGACTATTTGTACTAAAGGGGTCTTTAGAAATCTAGATCAACTCTTTAGTTTTACAACTGAAGAAACTGAGACTAAGAAAGATTAAGACACTTGCCTAAGATCACAACCAGTCATTAGTTTTTAGCAATTATTAAAAAGTCATTTCTTATTTTCTCCTAAGATTTAACATTTTCAGAGGAATCTGACAGTTGAGCAGGGTCAACTGCTTATTTTCAAATAAGGTAAGCAAACAAAAAATATCAAGATGACAAAGAAAAGAGAAGACGACCTACCTCTGGGTCTGCTAGGCGCTGAGACAGACCTACAACAAAGACGAGGTTTTTTTGTACAACACGTACACTAGCCAAATGCTTGCGATTTTCTGATATTTTCTGTTTTCTCTCATTTTGTTTCTGTTTTTTCTCATTCTTTATCCTTTGCAGTTCTTCTTGGGAGAGTGGTTTATAAACTGCTGGGTCTTCTGGATATGGCTTTAAGCATAAAACAAACATAGAGGTTAGTATTAAAAAAATTAGTAGGAAAAACCGCACGAATAACAATTATCCAATTCCAGATGGTATATATATGGTTATCTGGTATTTTCTGAACGCTTTAATTGCTTAAAAATATTTTTTTATTTAACAAAAGGTAAATGTTAAAATAGTTCTAAAAATACTTATTTTTTGGAGCTTGGCAGGGACCACCTTTAGTGCTGAAACTTAACACCAAAGTTTTAAAGCAAAACAACAACAAACCAATCTTGGTATTCCTGAGAGTACTCAACATGGTTCATGGGAAGAGTTAGCTTCTAAGGTGCTGTGTAAGAGGTGAAGAGTATAAGGTCTCTCATCTAAATATAGGTTTTACATATTATAATCAACAAATATTTAATGAAAACCTACTACGTGCTGGAAGATTAATGAAGTTACACATTCCCAGTGTAAGAGGGAGAGAGATGGGGAAATAAATAACAATATACACTCTGGCTCAGGAGTTTGCATTTAGTTTCAACTTACTAACATGTGGCCTTAGGCAAGTTAATGAAAGTATGCCTCAGTATCCTCAAAGTTAAACAAAAACAATCATAAAGGTTGGTGTAAAGACAAAATAACATTCATAAAGCAATTATTATTGTTCCTGGAACATAGTTATCCCTTAATAAACATTAGCAATTTCATTGTTGTATGTCTTTGATCTCTTCCTTCTCAGCATTATGGTATCATTTTCATTCCTACAGCTAATGCCAAGGCTACCTGTGGTCTGAATAAGAGCTGTGGAGTCAGAATGCCTGGCTTTGAATCCTATCTCACCGTTCACTATCTAATAGACTGTTTGGCTAAGTTATTATGTGATCTTCCTGCCTCAGTCTTCTCACCTGTGAAATGGAAATTTCAGTATTTTATTTAGAGTGTTTCGGTGAGAGTTAAAATAGATAATACACTTATAAAGTGATTAAAACTGTGTCTTGCACATAAGCATTCTAAAAATCAATTATTACAACTACTAATAAATACTGTTAATGATAAATGGAAGATGGAGCACATTAAATACAGTAATATTTAAAACTGGATATAAAGAGAGTCCAAGAACAGGAAACACAACTGGTTAGGAATTGTACCTATGAAAATACAAGAGTGGGGGACAGCAGAAACAATGCCAACAAGAAAAAAAGTGGAAACAAGAGCAAAAGAAATTCCACAAGCCTGAAACCTTGCTATTCCTTTAACGTAAAGTTACTTTCATATCTTTACACATAAGCAAAAAACAAAAGCCAATAAAAACTCTTTAATGTGTGAACTTACTCAGACTAATGCTGAAGGCAGTAAAGTGTGATTTCACTTTATGGTCCTCAACTTCTACTAGTATATAGCCTAAGGGCTCCAAGATCCCTATTCTTTCCCATTTATGCCCACTTTTAACTTTAATTTACTGCTTTTTAAGAACCATAAACTTTTCATAGTTTACCTTATCATCAACAAACTAGACCTGGTTACCTAAAAAAGATTCAGGTGTAATTCTTAATGGTTCTATAGGATATAAATACCTTACCATTCAACTTCCACATGAAGAAATCTGAATCTCTTAGCTAACTGGTCCTGTTTGTCACACTACTCTTGAGTGGAAGACATACAAAATAGCTTAGTAATTTACTTGACTTTTGTACGACTTCAGGACGTTCTCCAGGATCAAATATAAATTTAGTATGGCTCACTTTAGGAGCTCAA